CAGCAACAGGCCACAGATGATGCTGGATAGAGGTCTGTCCCCATATGGCCTCTGCAGCAGGGACTACTGTGTTTAGGAGCTGCTCTGTTCACAGGGCTGTCTGCAGCAGTTAGTAAATTGTTTACAGTGAAGCCCAACTTTTCCAGTGGGAGGATCCCTGTAACCAAATCAAAAGACCAGGGCAGTGTGCTCTTACATAAACCATCGCCTGTCATCAAACAGGTGACAAACAGCAGCTTCGCTCCACCCTCAATTTACATAAGGATGCAGCAAGCCCTTGACCCAATTATACAGGGCTTGGACCAAGTGATCCTACTATTTTGAGATATTTACAAAATGCAGATAAGGCAATTGAAAAATAAAAATCGTAAATTGTAGAGAGAGATTGACTTCAGAAATTATCAGCCTGTCAACCTAAGCATATGGAGAAATACAGCAACCATTGATCAAAATATCAAGTTGTCAGCACTTAAACAGAATGCTCGGAAAGTACTGAGCCGTACAACCAAGTGACAAACCAAGCCCCATCTAACAAGATCCCTTCTGCCGACAAATGGCAGATGCCAAAGTAGGATGGGTCCTGAGAGGAGCAGCAGGCTTGGCCTCCAAGCTTCAACAAGACCTGGGGGAGCACTTGGGCCTGGGTCCTGGACCCTCGGGCAAAGGTAGACTCCCTTTGAGTGAGCGTGGGCAAGCTAGCCCACCACCGTGGACATCGCGGGCACCAGACCACGGCTTCTCACCTTGTCCAACCCGGGAAGAATCTTTCCTCTGCTGGGTCCCCTGGATCTGGGCACAGATGAGGTGGCCAGCAGTGAATGCTCAGTAACACTGGTTGATTAGATAAGAAGCGCTCTGTGAACACCTGCTCCTGACTGAGCCATTAACACCTGAAATGTGTTCATTCGTGTACGCCACATCCACGGTCCCTGCACCACCGTCCCAATACCCCACCACCCTGAAGCCTGAACACCATACCCAGACATGCAGGGAGCGACCCTCTAGGGGAAGGGACCATACTTTAAAGCAATGGTTGTGACATCATAACTTTCTACATTATTATATCTCTGATTTTTGAAGCAATGTAGGCTCATTGTTTAAATTTCTGAATAATATGAAGAGTCAGATATAAACATCTCTACCACATAATTCCCCTACTTAGAGACAATGAGTTAACATTTTGGTGTTTTTGCTTCTTTTTCATACGCACACACAGAGAGATTCATGTATATTTAAAGCTTCGTGGAATATTTGGCCATGTGTCTGTCTTTTCATAGACTGTTCCAGACGGGGCATTTTCATTGATCATAGCTATCTCTGGAAGCATGATTTTCACATATATCTGCACAGCATTCCATCATATGGATGGACTACAGTTTACTTAATCACTCCTATTTTTGGATGCTGGGTTTGTTTCCAACTTTTCCTGTATTTTAGAGTGCTTCACAGAATATGCTCATTCATAAATCATTCCACGCACTTCCGGATCTTTTTCTTAAGATAGATATCGAGCAGCGGGATTACTAGGGCACAGGCATACAAATACTTCTATGGCTCTTGTTCCATACTTCTTAACATATTTTAAAAATTCTCTTTAGAAACATTTAAGGATTAAGATCTAAAGGAAGTTATGGAATGAAATGACAGATTTGGCTTGGTTTCTAGCCCCAATCCCTCTGTCCCTTCATCCCAGACCAGTTGAGGTGTTGGCCACTGTTAGTGTTAGATTCCCCTTGCCCATCATGATTGTCCCCGGCATCTCAGGAGCACTCACCCCAGCAGCCTGTAGGACACCCTGAAGCACCCACCAGGATTGCTCTGCAGAGAGCCGGGTTTAAAGCTAGGACACACAATCAAAGGCCTTTTGTCTAAAGAAACCAAATTAAATACATAAGAAACATGGACTCCATTGAATTAAAAATCATACAGGACTCACTGACCCTTCATCTTTCTCCACTGCTCCTTTCAACATTCCAGCAGATTTCAAGACTATTGAAGGGGAGTGTGTGTCAGAGAAAAAGTTGTTGATTCAAAAAGACTCAATAATGATCATTTTTAACACGGTGTTCAGTTGTATGCAATGATAGCTTACTGTTAGCGTTATTTCAATTCCTTCTATTACTGGCAAAAAACGAAGTTCATTACCTTTAAAAGGTGGCTGGGATTTCTGATTTCTGATTGCAACACAGCAGTTTTGAGCCTTTTTCTTCCTTTGCATGGGCTAGATCTGTGTTCCTCGCGAGTACCCTCCCCCAGAGAAGCTGAGTTTCAATGATTTCAGTAGGTGGATTTCCTTAAGTGCTTCTTGTTATATTTCATGGCCTACTTTCTTGCCTTATTTCACTTTTTTCTTTGCCTTTTATATTATGCAAAATATATCTGAAAAGCCAATGCAAAATAATTTAATATTATACACTGAGAGAGTCACCAAATGTATTCCCACATTTCAAGAGCATAGATGTCTACATGTTCCAGTTGACAGGATCATCGAGTCAAAGGAAAAAATGGGGTGAGGAGCTTAGCAGGGACCTTGGCATAGTAAGCACAACTCCCTCATTTGGATAAGACAACTATAGCTCTGAGAAGAGAAAATACAGCTTACCAAAGCTTTAGGTTGTTATCTAATCAAGGGTACAGAATAGAAAAAAATAATAATGTAGTGACTGACTTCTTTACAGCCCTTTACAGTTTATAACACACTTTCCCATTCAACATTAAAAGGTACCGCAATTCTGGGCTTCTAGCAAATGAAACCCTCACGCGGTTTGTTTCCCTCCAGGAGACCCGTGTGGCCCATTTTACATCTGGTATTATTCATTTATTGGTTGTTGCTGATGGAGGTGCCTTGAGCTGGAATCTCAGAAGGCATTTAAGATGAGTTTCTTGCAGGAAACAGCAGGCTACCACTGTGGGCCAGCTTCCATGGAGAGTAATACACCCTGCCCTAAAGGGTACAAAAAAAAAAAAAGAGAGAGAGTGCTTTTTGTATTCCGATATCCCAGGGTGGGTTTTCCAAAGAAGGCACCGGATCAGATACCTTTGCTAGTAAATCCTCCTGGAAGGTGACCACAAACACTCCTGTGACTCCATAAGATAAAGTTACTACTCATCTGAAATGGTTCTCCTGGTAATTCATGCAGATTTTTGGCATGTTTGGAGCAGAAGGAGGGAGGCAGACTGGGATTAGCAGGGATGCTGACCCCAGGGTGCTGGGCACACCTGTCCACTCACTCTGCAGGAGCTATCCTGAGACCTTGGATAATGACCTCCTTTGTGGGTGATGTCATCATTCACAATGATTTGGGACAGCTCTTCTTCACCCTTCTCACCCCTGTCCTGGGTTTACTCCTTGGCAGGGTGTATCTGTGTCCTGTGGCTGCTGTAACATTACCACAAGCCGGCGGCTTAGGGTGACAGAGCTTTACTCTTACAGCTCTGGAGTCTGAATTCAGAATTCCCAGTCTGATACAGGAGTGTGGCTGGGCCATGCCCTCTCTAAAGGGCCTGGGGAGACTCTGTACCCTGCCTCTCTCTTAGCTTCTTTAAATCCTTGACGGGTTTTGGCTTATAGATGCATTGCTTCTGTATGTCCCCACTGTCCTGTGGTGTCCTCCTGCACCCTGGATTAGGCCCACCTGAGCTCAGTGCCATTTGCTTCACTACATATTCAAGACCCTCCTTCCAAATAAGGTACCAGGGGTCAGGTCACAGCAGAGCTTTTGGAGGGACAATTGCACCTATTTTGGGGGGAGACACCGGGGGCTTAAAACTTGCATGCTCTTTTCTCAGCAGAGACAGTGAGAGTCTGTTCAGAAGGCAGGCTGCAGGCTCAAGGATGCAACGGAAAAGAGAGTGCTCAGAGGGTTAAAATGACTGAGCTGTGTCTTCAGGGTAAGAGGGCGAGGAGGCCTAGCAGGGACTTCAAGAGCACAACATCGTGGGTGCTGCTCTCTTTCATCTTTGTGTCTGGAGCACATTATCCTCCATCCTAATGTCTTTCTCTCTTGTTCCAGTGAAGCAGCAAAGAAAGCAAGAGTGCTGAGCTCCTGCCGTCCATCAGCGCCATCCCGCACCCCATCCATTTGGGCCACTTAACATCTATTCTGTGGCAGGCGTGGCAGCCACCACCTGATAGATGCATTTTGCTGCTCTTGATTGAGTGTGAGCTGCGTACAAGGTGAGGCTTGTGCTAAGGCCAGACAGCATGGCCCTTTTGTCCCCACTTCAATCACTGCATTGGGAGTCTGGAAGAATCCAGCATGACCTGCAGTGTTGTTGCCACAGGCATTGCAAAAAAGCCACCCAGAGGAGCCCAGAGAAGTCAGCCCTGTTCCCCATCCACCTGCTGCCCTGCAGCCCTCTCAGAGGCGAGCAGGCAGGTGGGCAGCCCTTCCTCACCCCAGCGTGGCTCTTTCTTCACCCAGGTGCTGTTTCGGTACTGCACGATGCCCTGCCTGACCCAGCATCATGGAGTGGGACATGGTGGGGAAATCAACCCTCTTACTATGTTCCCAAGGCAAGGAGTGGATCCCAATAGGAGCTAAATCTTCCTGGGAAAGGAGAGCTTCAAGAGAGCTGCTTTCCTCCCCTGCCCCCAGTCACCCAGTGCAGAGCAGGAAGGTTTCTGCAGGAAACTATAGAAGGAATTTGTGGCCAAGCATCTTATGGCAGTGGCACGTGATTGGTGGTATAAAGACATGCTCATCATAGCCTCTGCCCTGGTGACATACTAACCAATATTAGTGGAAAGGACAAGAAAAGCATACAAACAACATCCAGGCAACCAAACAAGCCTGCTAGAACCCCTTGGGACGATACACAGGCAAAAGGAGACTTGATTTTCTGGTAAGCGAATACGAGTCATAGAGGTTCTTTGGGAGGAATGGCCATCTTTCTTTCAATTACAGGAAACTTTGTGAAGATATTTTTTAAAACCTAGTAACAAATGAAGTATATATAGTCGAGACTCTGGGTTGCAAGTAAGAAAAAGAAAACTCACAAAAAGGGCGAGGGGCAATATATTTGTTCACATAAGTAAAGACAGTCAGGGTTGTTCCAGATACTGGAGGTTGTGTCTCCAGGAGTGTTCCCCTCAGCTCTGTCTTCCTCTCTCCTTCACCTCCGGCAGGCCATTTCCTCCAGAGGCCCGGGGTGGTTTTCTGGAGCCCCTGGAGAGTCTCTCATTCCCAGCCCTCCTAGCACAACCCCTGCTCCAACAGACTCCGCTGTGACACTTGCTCATTCGGAGGCACCAGCATCCTGGACCTTCTCTCTGGCATGCTTGTGAGGAAGAAAGATAACAGACACACAGATAAAAACAGAAAAAAAAATTTAAAAAGCATTGCTGTATATTCACAGAGCAATGTTTCAACAGAAAAGACGATTTGGTTGGCTTTTTACTAAAATCAAATAAAAGTTTAGGTTAAAAATTAGTAATATTTTATTAATATTATTTATAATAATTATTCACAGTAAATGTGAAAAAACATGAAAAGATTTTCAAAAAGCAAAAACAAATAAATGCAGAGAAAGCTATTAAAGAACTCTCCCATGCAGTTAGCATTTTCTAGGAAGGCTTTTGAATGCTTATTCTGAGCCCTTATTTTTTTGTCACCTCCAAAGTTTAGTATTAACCATGACTTGTCTTTCATTTGCTAGATTCTTCACAACATTTAAATTTATTCTCCTACTTTTTCATCATTATAATCAGTCACAGGTTTAAAAAAGTCCATAAACACTATAAATTTAAAAATCAACTTGTCCTATCAGACCAAGGGCATAGAGGTCTGGATTCAATCCCAGTACCACAAAAGATAAACAAACAAACAAATTAACTGGCTCTAAAAGTCAAAGAAGTCTCAAAGCAATTTTTAAAGATATATAGAACTAAATGTAAAAGAAAATACTGTACATTATAATATGTAGGAGGTAAGGGAGAGAAATTAACAATACTAACTGCTTGTATTAGAAAAGATGAAAATCACAAAAGAATAATCTAAGTTCCTATGTCAAGAAATTAGGAAAAGAAAAGCAGAATATAAACTCAAGATAAGCAGAAAAAAATAATAAAGAGCAGAATTCAATGAACTTGAAATCAGGAAAAGAGTAGGAAAATCAACAATCCAAAAAGTTTATCTGAAAAAATTAACAAAATTTGCAAACTTCTAGTGAGACTACAAAAATAAAAGAGAAAACACAAATTGTCAACAGCAGGAACAAAATAGAACATGACTAAAGATCCTGCAGACGGCAAAAGGATTTTAAATTTGAGAACTTGGAAGGAATGAACCAATTCCTTGAAAACCACAAACTACCAAAACTTGACTGAGATGAAATAAACAGACTGACTAGTTCTATGATCTTTAAAGACATGGAATAAATAATTAGAAAGCTTAGGAAAAGGAAATCTCCAGGCCCCTATACTTTCCTTCTTTCTTTTTTTTTTTTTTTTTGGCAGGGGGGCGGGGGTACCAGGGATTGAATTCAGGGACACTTGGCCACTGAGCTACCTCCACAGCCCAATTTATTTTGTACTTTATTTGGAGACAAGGTCCCACTGAGTTGCTTAGCACCTTGCCATTGCTGAGACTGGCTTTGAACTCGAGATCCTCCTGTCTCAGACTCCCAAGCTACTGGGATTACAGGTGTGTGCCATCATGCCAGACAAGGCCCATATACTTTCACTGAAGAATTCTAGAAAACATTTAAAGAAAAATTAAAATCAAATATATACAATCTCTTTCAAAAAAGAACAGAAAAGGAGAGCTGGAAATGGAGTCCAGTGGTAGAGTACCTGCTTAGCACACACAAGACCCTGGGTTTGATCCCTAACAACAAAAAGAAAATGGGTAAGGAAAAGAAGAAACAGTCCACAAATCATTTAATGAAGCTATTATTATCCTGATACCAAAACAAGACAAAGGTAGTGTTAAAATAAAAAGATAAAACTACAGACCTAGATCTTTTATGAACTTATATTTTTTGTATGCAAAAAAATCCTGAACAAATATGAACAAATTGAATTCAACAATATGTAAATGAGCTATATGCCATACCAGATGGGATTATTCCAGGTATACAAAGCTGGTTCCACATTAAAAGATTAAATTTAAAAAAAAAAGTTACATGATAATATCAATTTCAGATAAAGCATTTGACAAAATTCAACTCCTATTCATGATAAAAAGAAAAAAAAACTCTCAGCAACTTAGAAATAGAGATAACTACTTAACTTGGTAAAGGGCCCACACAAACAATATAAATAAACAATGAATACTTTTCCTCTTTAATTGAGAAACTAAGCAATGGTGTCCACTATTTCCAGTCTTACTCAATATAGTACTGCAAGTTTGAGACACTGCAATAAGGCAAGAAAAATAAATGAAAGGCATGGATTAAACAGGAAGAACTTAAACTGTCCCTATTTGGAGATTACACAAATGTCTACATAGAAAAATCCCAGGGTAGCTGGGCATGGTGGCACATACCCATAATCCCAGTGACTCGGGAGGCTGAGGCAGGAGGATCACAAGTTCAAGGTCAGTCTCAGCAACTTAGTGAGACCTTGTCTCAAAATTAAAAATAAAAAAGAACTAGGTTTGTAACCCAGTGGTAAAGCACTCCTGGATTCCATTCCCAGTACGAAAGGAAGAAAGAAAAGCCCAAGGAAATTTCAAATAAAATTTCTAGAACTAATAAGTGAAGTCATCAAGTTTGCAGGATACAAGTCAACACATAAAAATCAGTCTCATTTTTATTTATTAATAGTAAACATTTGGAAAATAAAATTTAAAATGCAATACCATTTATAGCCATTCCAAAGGAAAAAAAAATGCCTAAACTGTAAACTTAAAGCATGTTCTCATCTGTGCTGGGGACTACAGAGCACTGGTGAAGAAATCTAACAATGAAGAACTAAGCAAAGCAAAAGAAATGCTGTGCTCACTGGGAAAAAGTCAACACAGCGATGGGGTCATCGCTCCCCAAATTAGTCTGCAGAGTTAATGCATTTCCACAAAAGTCCTAGAAGGCTTTTTGCAGACATAGACAACCTTGTTTTTACATTTGTTTGGAAAAGCACAGGACCTAGAGTAGCTCAAAAAATCTTGAGAGACAATAGGTACCACTTAGTCTGAAACCAAGGCCTACCCCATAGCAGTGATGTTAGTGGGGACAGACACGCAGATTAGTGGAATAGAATAAAAAGCCCCCAATACATACAACTGACTGTTGACAAAGGTGACATTGCAGTCCAATCATGGAAGAAAGGGCGGCCATTTCACAACAATGCTGGAGCAATCAGAAGTTCACAGAAAAAAGAGAAAAAGCCTCACCCATGACCTCACACACTACACAGAAGTTCTCCAAATAGACTCAAACCTTGATATAAAGCAGAAATCTTTAAAACCTTTAGGAAAAATATATACATAAGAAGCCATTTTTGAGAGCTAAGCCTAGGCAATAAGTTCTGAGTTCTGAGGTTTGACAACAAAACTGTGACCCATAAAAAGAAAACTTCATATTCTGGATCTCATCAAAATGATTAACTTTTGCTCTGCAAAATAATCCACTAAGAAGGTAAAAAGACACACTGCATACATCCTTGTACAACAGTTTGGTCAGTTATTTCTATTGGGGAAAATGGGAGAAGGGTACACAGAATCTATATTCTTTCTCTCTTTCTTTCTTTAATGTTATTGGTACTTTACTTATTTATTTATTGGTACCAACGACATCGACTACTGAGCCACATCCCCAGACCTATTTTGTATTTTATTTAGAGACAGGGTCTCACTGAGTTGCTTAGTGCCTCACTGTTGCTGAGGCTGGCTTTGAACTCACCATCCTCCTATCTCAACCTCCTGAACCACTGAGATTACAGGCATGTGCCACCATGCCCAGCTCTATATTATTTCTCATAACTGCATGTGCTTCTACGTTTTTATGAAGACAAAATGTTTAAATAATTCTTTTATTTCAAGGAAATATTGATAACAAACATAGAGTACAAGGCACTAATAAACAGTCAGAAGCACATAGAAAGCAATCAGATGCATGTTTGTGCCAGAGGTGGTGGCGCGTGCCTATCGTCCTGGCAACTCAGGAGGCTACAGGGGGATGGCAGGTTGGAGACCAGCCTTGACAAATTTGTGAGATCCTATTTCAAAATAAAAAAATAAAAAGGACTGGAGGATGTTGCTTGGTGATAGAGTGCCCCTGAGTTCAATCCTCAGTACCACAAAAGCAAACAAACAGACTGGGGTCATACCCTCACCGCAGCTCAGTAATGAGAGCGCTGGCAGAGCATGCTCAAGGCCCTGGGCTCAATCTCTAATACTGAAAAAAAATAAAATAACCTAACAAATAAAAAGTACATTTACAAACTTTATGCGAATGCTTTAGTACTAAAGATATTTTTTTAAGTTGATAGTGACTTGACCTGAAGAGCAATGCATTCATTCATTCAACAGATATTTCTGAACAAAGTATTTTTTGGTCCACGTTTGGTTGAATCCACAGACTCCGAAGCCATGGACACAGGGCTGTGAACAGAGGTCCAGACGTTCTGAGACTTCCAGTCTGCAGTAGGGGTTCTGGGGAGAATGACCTGTGCCTTTCTCTGTCTGGTAATATAAATACATGCCTTGGAAATGTGTGTACACAGACAAAGAGAAAATTGGAGGATAGCTGTCATGATACTGGGTGAGGGTAGGCCCTGCATTTGAGCCTACAGTAACTGCTGCTTCTACTGTCACCACAGCTTAAGGAAAATGGAGGTGAAACATCCACCAAGGAGGCTGAAGAGCAGACAATGTTGTCCGTGGAAGAAAAATAGTGGGCTGCATCCTGGATATCACCGCTGACCAGAAAGGGGACAGGCCCCCCCCAGCGATCTGTGTTTAACAAGCTACACTGACTGTATTTCTAACCTGAATACTCTGAGGTATTCCAGAGGAACTTACTTCTTGTTAATCCTGTGGTAAATTACAGACTTTATAAAGTGTTCGTGTGAAACTCTGAATAACCATCTCCTAAGCTGTCTCTTTTCCAAGGGATATAGCATTCCATGCAGAATGTCTTTGAAGCTGATTATACCTGTTCTCCGTGACAGTTACAAATGCTCATTAGCAATAAGAGTGATTTCAGAAGAGAATTAACATGGAAAATTCAGACATTCCTTTCCCTGACTTTGGAAATGACATTGGCAGGGAGGGACTGATGAGAAACTCAAGACTGCTCATTTTTCTGAAGATATCACCTTCTATGGTGCCCATGCCTGAAACTCAGACATCCTGCCTTCACTCTTCGAGCTCAGTCCATGTCACTGTCTAGCTCAAAAATGCTGTCTTGGTTGATGTGTGGCTAAGAGAGGAGTTTACTCCATTCATTTCCCTGCCCGGGAGACCTACTATTATAAAATGAACTGTCTACAGTGATTTGCAAACTTTGTCTTCTTTCAGGACATCACAGCAAGCTGCCATCTCCTGAATTCCAAGAATGATCCACTCTCCCTCCCCATCCCAGAGTGTGTGTTGGGGGGACAGCAGCCCTGGGATCCTGGCCTTGGGGATAGAATGTGCGCCCACCCTTCCCAGGGGAGACTGAGGATGCAGTGCTGGCTGCAGCCCAGGAAGCTGGAGGCAGATCTGGAAGCAAGGTCACCTGTCATGCTTGTGTGGTCTTAGGTCGCAGGGTGCCTCCAGCCTTCAGGTGTATAGCCTTCTTTCGCCTCTGCTCACATATATTTTCCCAGCTGCACCTTCACCAGTCTTCTGTTCTCCAGAAAGTTCTCACTCATTCAGCCCACGAGTATCTCATCAGTTCTTCCAAGCTCTGCTGGAAGTTTCTGCAGGAGTCCTGGCCACGTGGGAAATCAAGCCACCTAAGCTTGTAAATGCAGGTCGGTGGCTGTGGGTCTGTGCCTTGAGATGCTGCGCATTCCTCATGCAACTGAAGTTTAGAGAAATGGAGACTCATGTATTCTAGTATAAGAAGCTGATAAAGGGAAAACTTCTCACTGGCATGCATGTTCTGTGGTTCAAAATTTCTCCCAAATCCAACAGCAAGGAAAATTAATAACAGCTTTTGTCTGAAGAGTAGACTCACTCACTTACTCTGATCAGCCATCCACCTCCGAAGCGGGGTTTTCATGGCTCATCTTGGTCCCCCTGGGTTCTGGGCCTACTCAGCTTTCCAGGTGCTGGTTTTCACATTGGTGGAACGGTGGCTGGCGTCCATCTCTTGGATGTCTGACATAGTTCTTGCCTATGAGCTGAGCTCACTCTTCCAAACCCAATCAAGTGTCAGATCTTTGGATTCAGATTCAGTTGCTGCCCTTTTGGGTTTTCACCCCACCACCTTGGGTAAAATCAGAACTCGGTGCCTCACCTTCAAAAGCCCTAATTGAAAAGGAAGCTGAAGACATATTCCATGGCAAACTGACCTTGGAAACCCTCTTGGGGACCTGGCCACTGTATGTAAAGCTCCCAACTTATTGACATGTCCATGTGGATTTGCAATAAAAATAAGGCTACTTCAGATTCTAATGGTGCCAGCCGTTACTCACGGGTCCTTATTGCCTCCCCAACCCACTGCCCTTCCCACCCCATGCTTCCCAACTGTCCCTCATCCACACTTCTGGTTGTTGCTGTGTATGCCCATACCTTTTCTTAGAACCTTCATATCACTAAATCTTGGGAGGCAAAAATGATGTCTATGACAATGTGAAGCAATCCTAACATCATTCAAACTATCAGAATAAAAATCTAACTTTTAATGGTACTAGTTTAGATAGACCAGTTATATTCAGGGAGAGCTATGAAATTGTACCATCTGAATTGGTAAAGTGCTTTTCAAAGTAGGCTAACAGAACACAATGTCGTGAGAAAAGCACACTGATTTTCACTTTGTTTTTGGCTTGTTAATTTCACTAAATGCTTCAACAAGGAAATAATTACAAGATTTCTAAGCAATTGCACAACTGTTCTGAAGCCTGACTACAAACCTCCAACATTCACAATAATACAAATGGTACATATCGGGGGTTACCCATTAAATGACTATGACAGATCGTATTTCTGGTTGATTGTTAGTTCCTTATGACCTTGGGCTTTGCTTGTGCATTTAATAACACCATCTGCCATCCAGGATAGTGTACCACCTTTTTACATGGGGATTACTGTTGTTACTTTGTAGAAAAAAGTGCTTAATCAGAGGTGTTGAAATTCCACTGTGGAATTATTGAAGTCATACTACCTATGGGAAGTTTCGAGAAGGCAACTGACTCTCTGCTCTGTGGGGCTTTATGGCTTCAACTCAAATATCATAATTTATGTACCGTAATAAAAGCATAAGAAAGATTTACAAGTTATATTCTTGGTATGCAAAACGAAATGCTGTAAAAGAATCCTGTCCCTGTTTCCCGGTCCTATTTGTCTTATCCCAGCCTTGCTTCATGTGGGGCAGCGTCCCTGGGACACTTCCCACTGCAATGGAAATTTAGAAAGATATTCTCACAAAGCAAGTAAGCCTTTTTTAAAAATCATCATCCCAAATCAAGCCTCTGTTTGGGGGCACAAGAGTCCTACT